TACGTGCCAGGTTTCACTTGTTCCCAAATTTAACCAGAATGCCATTGTCTGACACAGACATATTTGAGTGTCCAACATCAAATCTGATTAACCTTCATGGAATCCCTTTTGACCATCACTATTGATGGTGATGTCTTTCTTCTTGACCTTTACTGCCCTTCTTCAGCCCAATTCATTTGTATCCAGGAAATAAATATCTGTCCTGTGTTCTCTGTTGATATCTTCAGTCATAGCCTTTGGTCAACTGCTTTGTGCTCTGTGTGATATCTCAGTAAGAAATGTACTGTTGGCAATTCTAAGTCTGCTTCTCTTTTTAAATTATTTTTGCCCCATGCGTCACTATCTTTAGCTCTACACCTACACATCTGCTATCCTTTGAGGGAATTTTGGGTTACATTAAGGTAGGAAGCAATCCTACTCCTACAACATAACATTTTATATCTTTCTTCCTTTTATGTGCTGTAACTTTCAGCCAATAAGGGATTATGCTTTATGCCATGAGTTTATCTTTGATTAATTCTCATACTTATGATGATCTACTAATGGTTCTCTCACAGTTGGGTGCAAGAAAATAATCACAAAATTATGAAAACCAAGAGCACTAATGAATGATAGAAGTGTTACAGAAAGATAAAACACCTTTCTTCTACTTCACACTCAATAAAAGTACGGTATTGTTTATTTTTCTGAAAAATAATGAAAATAGAGTCATGTCTTTAAATTCTGTTTGTGCCCAGAGGATCAGGTCTGTGCTAGTCAAAGTGAGTTTTCCTATCTCCAAGTTGATGTAGTAATGAAAACTGCCTCTCAGACATTTGGAGAAAATAAACATGGTACATTTTAGTTTTCCTTAGTGCAGGGTATGTTATACAGTAGGTGCTCAGTAAAAGGAAATTATTTTATTATGTAACACAGGCCTTCTGGCTGTCATTACATGGTTATCTAAAAACTCCATACACATTAATTAACTTTCCTTGTGCCAGAACACTATGCCTGACATCCACAATTCAAAGGAAGAGAGTTTGAATGTGGCTTACAGTTTCAGTAGATTTAGTCCATGGTCAACTGGCTCCAAGCCAGGAATGTCATGGCAGAAGGCCACTGTGGAGAAAAGCTGCTTAGTTCATGGTAGCTGAGAAGCACAGCAGGGAAGCTGCACCAGAGAGGATGGCACGAGGGACATGTAGACCCCAAGCCACCTCCATGACTCACCCTGATAATTCTGGAAAGATGCTCCAGTAACCCCCAGGCAGATCCCAAAGTTGACACCCCACCCTAATGCTGCACTCCAGCATGTAGAGTTGTAATTTAATTTCACTTCCTGAGATTATTCAGTAAGTTGCGAACTGGAAGACTTGATCGGATGAGTAAGGTTATGGTTTTTGGCTATTATCAAAATTTGTTAAAAATGAAACAGAAATATGTCAACATTATAACCAATATAAAATATTAATAATAGCTATACATTAATGAAAAATTAATATTTATATGTTAATATAAAATATTGGTATAATTTAATATGTAACAAAATATAAATGTTTTATTGTTATATAATTAAAAGGTAGCACTTTTTCCCCTGAAACTGTGTAGATACCAATAATGAGTTAGTGATAATAATTTGTATTTGATGGATACCTGTGTTCAATTTGGTGCTGGGGAGAATATGTACAAGTATCATGTGTTGTACTAACTTCCAAACAGCTGTGTTGGTCAGGTGTTAGAGCTCCACATCTTAACTGAAGATGTCTCCCTGGAGGAGGGGAACAGAGGTCAGGTCTCCCAGTGACTCAGAGGCAGAGCCAGGAGGTGGGCAGGGTTTCTTAGACCTGCACCAACTCTCTACCTGCTCTATGATGCAGGGTGACCGGGACACATTTAATGGGAGTGGGGAGTAGATGCATCTTTCATGTCCCAATGCCTCTCATTCTGAGCCCACTAAGATCTCTATCAGCACCCAGGGAGGGACACTAGTGGAGCTGGCCACTCATTTACCTGGACACATGTGCCTCGGGTATAGAGAGGGATGCAGGGCTCACAGCACCATTGTGTTCAGGCCCTGGTTCTGCCTTTTGTGGCAGACACAGGAGCCAGAGGACACTGAGCAGGGTACAGGTGCACACAAAGAAGTGGCTACTTGAGATCAGGCCTTTCCTCTATGTCTATGGACCCATCCCCCAATCCAGCATGGCCCTTAGGGCTCCAGTGTTTCAAACCTGGACCTTCATGAGCAGCTGAAACCATTATTTCACTGGGATGAAATAACGGTTTGTTGATGTATTCAATGATGAGAGCATGTGGGTTTCAAAGCTGCACTGAAGAAATTGTTGAAGTTTAAAAATGGCGGATGGAGCAAAGAATGATGCAGGAGTCTTTCGTAATCTGTGTGCATCTGAACATGAAACATCCACTCTCATTTATCTATTACTTCATGTCCTTACACTTTTTGCCAACGCGTCCTTAGTGCGTAAATTACATTTCATTAGCACACTACCAATTTTAACAAGCTGGAGTCTTGAGAAACAGCTGCCACCCAGGATGACAATTAAAGAAAGGAGAGTGAAAATCAGGACTCAAATGTGAAGCTTCGGCCAGAATCAGGTAGTCGTTACAGCCTCTGACACAGTGGCCCTGGGTGGGGGGACTGTCACCCTGCTCTCTAAGCAGGAGACTGAGACTCGCAACTCTCACCTCACCCGTTGTCCAGCTTGATATTGGCAAGAGATGATCGCATTAAGACTCAAAATTGAAAAATTAGCTCTGTTTACAGCTCCTATCTTGATAAAAGACTGCCTTCAAAAACAAATACACTTGGAGGATGAAGATTTATAAACTCAGAGAGAATATAAAGACCAAATATGTTGCTTCAGGTAAATAGCTCTGACTTTAAAATAAACTTCTCAGGAAAGTAATGCATAGTATACATGTTCCAAGCAATCCAGAGAAAGCAAGCTGGGTCCTGCCTGTGTGCCACCAGGGGCATGGGCTGAACTCGGCCGGAGGAGGGTAGGGTGCATGGGGCAGCCAGGAGAGAAGGAAGACACACCTGTGCTTCTCCCAAGAAGAACAGGTAGATCCCTTCAGCCATCATCATGCCTGCCTGGAGGAGGTCGGCCAGGAGGGTGAATTTGGTGGGAAAAACAAAAGCAAATACAAATCACTGGAGTACCTAAAAGAACTAATCTCTTTGAAAATGTGAATGGAATGTTTCTAGATTTGAAAGCTGAAGTTATATTTGTTTCATAAGCTATATTCCTATAGCAAGGCAACAAAAACATAGACATTTGGGAAGACCTTCAAGTTTTACATTTAAAATCAGATGTATGTAACACACAAGTACACACACGCACGCACACACACACACTCCAGTAATTTTATAAGAGATATACTCTACTTTTATCTTAATACATTTTTCTTTCATTAGCCTGTTTTTTAATGTAATTACTGAAGACAGTTCACAGTAAGAAAGTGAATGATGTGCACTATTTTCTGAATTCTTTAGATGAGAGAGTTTAGAATCTCAGCTGCAAGTTCAAGGCAGGCTACCCTCCCTGGGGTCTCCTGAGATGAGGTGAACTTTGCTGTAGAAGTGACCCCAGCATGCACACATCAAGACAGCAGGAACAGATGAGATAGTTCAGCAAAGGATAAAAGTTCCCCACTACAGTGGTTTTCCAGGAACGTGCAAGTGTTTCGATTTATCCTCATTTTAATAGTTTTGAATTTTAGCATGTGAAGTCATTCAATCTATCTATCTATCATCTCTCTATCTGTCTGCACCTATTTATACAACTAAGATTTTTCATAGTCTAGAGTTAGTTCAGAATCACCTGGGAAGAATGGTCTTTTTGACCAGTAATAGTCAATTAGAGCTACTGTGATATCTTTACTAGCTTGAAGGGGGAAATTATATTTGCAAATTCCAACACAAACACACTGTAGGCCTGGTATAAGCAGTGGTAAAGCAGCTCATAACCCCCGACCTCTCTTGAGATCCCCAAGGTGGCCTGGGGGCTGCAGTCCTGTGCCTCACAAGGGCAGGCTGCAGAGCAGCACAGGCTTCCTGGCTCAGCCTCACAAGCCAAGGGTGGAAGTGCTGTACAGACTGACCAGAAAGGCCAGTGCAGAGATGCTGAGCTTCCCCGCCACACACTTGCTTGCTGGGGTTTGCACCACAGAGCTGGTACCAGGGAAGGGGAGGGAGGTGAGGCCCAGCCCGCGCCAGGGTTGTCCACCTCACAGAAGGGTGAGGAGAACAACAGTGAGGTTTGAGAAAAGAGTTGGCCCGGCACAAGTGCCTTTAGTTAAAGATGTATGACCTACTCAGTGGAAGAAAGGCAGACAGGAATTATCTTGTTTTCCCTCTGAATGGGCACCAACTTGTTCTTGCAGTGGCCCTCGTCTTGCATTCTGTGCTTTGGCAAGAGCCAGGCATGGAGCATCTTCCCCTTTCCCAGGTCAAACGTGGAAGAGATCACAGTCAGCTGGCTGTAGTTGTTGTCATAGCTCAGAACTCGGAACTCAACACTGGGAAAGTCCTGGGGCAGTTTATCCCCTATGTGAATATTTCATTAAGCAAAGTACCCAGAATGTTCAGAGTCCCATATGGATATTGTCAACAACCAGAGAAACTTGTACAATGTGCAGCTTCTTGCGTGTGCAGAGCACCTGGTACCTGGACATGGCATGACCACAGCGCACATTACCCTGCAGAACAGAGTCTGCTGATGGTCAGTGACTGCAGGGGATCCGGCATGTGTACCACCCAGTGCCTGCAGACACCCAGGTCTCCACATGTGGGATCTGTGGAGCATTTGAGACCTGCAGAGCATAAAAGGTGCAAAGGACACCATGTGCGTATATCAAGTGAGTGTCCAGTACCTGCTGTGTGCAGGGCATCTGGTGTATTAAGAACACCTAGTGTGTACAGAGCACTTAGCAGCTGTCAAGGCTGAACAGCCAGCTCTGGATGGGGGGCTGGGCACGGGAAGGAGGCTACTCACCACGTTGCAGCCTGCACAGTCGGGCCCGTTCTCACAGGTTCTGCGGCGAGCCTGAATGCCACCCCCGCACTGGGCAGTGCACCGTTCCCAAGGCCCCCAGCCTGTCCAGAACATGTGCGGCGGGCAGAGCAAATGTTCATTGCAGTATCTGTAACAGGGAAACCAAGAGGGAAAGGAAACTGTTCAGAGTCACATGAGGCTATGGGCCTGTCCGCTCTCCGTCCTGCGCACATGGGGAACACATGGACATGCTCTGTGGAGGGCTTTCTGCATTTGGAGAGGTGGCACCGTACAGGAGGCAGATGTGGCGCTGGCCATGCTGTGTGGGCACTGACAATGGGATGGATGGCAGACAGTGACGAAAATGCTGAACTCACAATGCAGGATGGGTCTTCCTGTGCAGCCAATTAAAGGAGAAACAAGACAAAACAAAACCCTTCAAATAGACACCCGAAAACAAGAGGCACAGAAAATATCCAGGTAGGGCATTTATCTTCTAAACATAAACAGCGAAAGAGAAAGTGCGTTACAAATACAGTCAGCAAAGCTTTACTTGGAGTTCATTTCTCATTCTTGAACCAAATAAGTCCCACATTCTTCTTAGGAAAAGTTAAAGAAAAGTTAAAGAAAAGTTAAAGCTTGAGTTTGCCATGCCATTGACTGCTTAAGTTACAGTACTTTTAAGTTTATTTTTAGGCTCTCAGACTGATGCCAAATGACTCTACATGAAAAGGCCACCAGTTGTTTTTCCAAAAAATGGAATTACCTACAATTTTACAAACGGTAGTGCTAATTTGCAGGATTACACTCTTTATACACACATCTATTTTGCCAACTTTTAGCCAAATACCCAAAGCCTCCTTTAGCTCTATGATGAGCCACATTTCTTTGCAATCTTTAAAACCACAAGTGAAATGAAGTGAAGTGAGGAAAATAAATAAACAAACTAAAAGAACCCAAGAAAACAACAGGCTGGCATTCTTCAGGTCACAGCACGGGAAGGACATTACTCTGAATACAGCCAGATTCTGTGTGACACAACTGGTGATTTAAAGGACTATTTAGGTCCAGCAGTCTATCCACTGAGCCCAAATTTAGCGTGTAGAGAATATTACAATGGAACGCTTTCTCCTACGCCTTTCTCCCTTGCCAGGTCACCAGACTTAAACAGAAGCAAAGCCTCAAATCATGCAGCCTAAATCAGTCACTTAGGTCACTGTTATTCATAGCAGCTTTGTCGCGCAGAGCACTGTGCAGAGGGAATCACTGAGTGCTTCCTGATCACAGGTGTCCACAGCCTCAGGTGGACACAGGAAGTGTACACAAGGTCAGAAATGCAGGCAGAGCAAAGCTGCCTAGATACACAGTGGGACTCACATCACTTAGCATACAGGAGAGACGCTGCCCTTGATGCACGCCACAGGAAGTGCATTTCAGGAGCAGAAATCTAGGGCTGATGGCAGGGAACAGCCAAGAAAAGGACTTGAGAAGTGTCGCTTCCTGACAGAGAATGCTGGTAAGGTCCAGCTGCTTTTCCAGCAAACTGGAAACCACAGAGAAGGCGAGGCTTTGAGGATGGAGTGCAGTGTGAGGAGGGGCAGCAGGGCAAGGGAAAGGGGCCTGCAGGTAGAGTGAGGATGAGTGAGGGCCTGCTGGTGTTTTGGAAGATAATGAAAGGAGCATCACTAGCATCACAGTGAGCCTGGAGCCCCAGCTCAGCCAGGGCCTCCTCACAATGGGGGGAACCAGGGGCCCCTGAGGTTGGAGGAGCTCCCTGAATGTAGTGTGAAGTCTGAACCTCCAAAGACAGGGGAGGCCAAGGCGGGAGGAACTGAGGGGCACAGACCAGCCATGGTCTGTGCACTGACCACGCAGAGGAGAGATGTTCCTGGAAGGTGTGATGGTGACGGGAAGAGGGAGAGGAGGGGAAGAGTGGACAGAAGTCAAGCTGCAGCTGAAGGCTGAGGCCATGCTACCTCCAGGGAGAGAAGGTTGAAGTGCTGCAACTGCTACAGCCTCCAGAGAAGCAGATAGGTCCAGAGAAACGGTTGAGCTGGTCTAAACTTCCACACGTAAGAGTCGCCAAGGGACATGAAGAGTTGGCATTCTGTATCTGTTCAGCGTTGGGTGCAGGAGGAATGCGAGGTCGCCCTCTTACGGCAGGAGCACATGGGAACCCCTGGATGTCTATGTGGCCTAGTAAGAGGGAAGAGCTTCTAACTAGGACAGCAGAGCCTGGCGTGGAGATGGAAGAGGCAAGAGCAAAGTGGGGTCCAACAGACCTCAAGCATCCACCCCTGGGAAGTGTGCACGAGCACTCAGAGGCTCAGTACATAAATGCTAACCTACGTGTTCGTACTTGGGGCGTTTCAGGGGGAAACTCCCATTCCTTTTGAGATTTGGGTTTGAGGAAGTTGAAAAAACTCAGAATATCAGGAAACTGCAGCTCACTGTAGGTAGAAAGAAAATTAGAAGGTTGTCTCCTCTTACTGAGCTGATTCACAGATATCTGAAAAGTATGGACTCACTTAGCCTTCTTTGTCCTAATCTTAGTTTTCAACACCACACACACACACACACACACACACATGAGTGCACAATAAATGCTTATAAAACCCCTGACTTTTAATTTAAAAAGCATAACAACGGAGCTACAATATCCCCAGAGCAAAATAAATGACAGCACACAAATATTCTGTTGTATTCACCTACAGAAGGACACTTCTGAAACTGCTCAGCGTGTTGTCATCAAATTCTACTGTCAGGTAACCCACAATGTAGCCTGGAAGGTTTGTCCAGCATTAATAAATCATCTCGCAGGCTACATTCTGAGGTTGTCAATATCTTGTCTTCCCATGTTTCTTCTTCCTCGCTTTACAGTAATCCTGGAAAACAAGCCACCCCCGGATCCTGAGAAACATCACCCTCTGGAACAGCAAGATCTCTGACAAGGGAGGTCAGAGGGAAAGAGAAATGGTGAGGTTATCTCTTCCCTTTGTGTCCAGATTTTCATTCAGGAATCCAGCCTGGAGAGGCCGCTCAGTGGCCAAGCTCCTCCCAGCCCTCAGTCTGGATCCTCTCCACACTGTGGGAAGGCAGCTTCTTTCTGACACTCCCCTCACGCCCACTGCTATTAACCCACAGCCCCTCTCATTAAACCCCGCAAGCAGAGGAGGATAGGGGATCCTCACCTGCCATCTCTGCTTCTTGTTAGCGGGTGGATAAAATACTTACCAGGGAGGCTGCCACTCGGCTGCTCATCTCCAGTCCTCAGCACGAAGATCATTTTTACCAACTAATGAGCTAAATGTTTAAAACATAAACTGGCTCTGTTAGACCCCTAGTATTTCAGAGCACTGAAAATCATGGATGCGTTTCATTCATTAAGATTTTAATTTTGTCCATGACTGCTTATTCTTATTTTGCATTTAAAATCTAACTAATGACCCAGCATTTGTTCTTCATAAATTATCCCCTTTTTCATAAACCTAGTCTCTGTGAAAAGAATGGCCTTTCAAAATCCCATACGGGCTAAATGCTCAACATTATTCTCTCTCTCTCTCTCTCTCCCTCTCCCTCTCTCATGCTAGGGTTTGAACCCAGGGTCTCATGGATGCTAAGCAAGTGCTTTACTATTAAGCTATCCCCCAGTTCACTTGCCTTTATATGCCTTTATGCTATGAACTGTTTACCCTCCTGGTTATGTCCTTGCGAGCTTTTCACTGGGCCAGTTAGGACCCTTTCAAGAACAGTTTTCTCCTTGGTCCACTCTAAATGACCATCCCTTTACTGGGCCATACTGGAAAAGATATACTTTTTATAGCACCAGAGAAACTGTACATACATTAAGTGACAGAGCGTCACTTTTGCCCATCACAGGATGAAGCAAACATACTGAAAACACAAAAATAATCTCAATAAATCTCTATTGGTTCCTGGGACCCTTAAGTTTGCAAATGGCTCTTATGTGGTCCAGGCTCCAATGTGGTTCCCTAGATCCCCACCTCCTGGATGGAATCCCCCTCTTTGCGGAATCCCACCTCACCAGGTATAGGTGAGACTTACCATTGGCTCCAAATCAGCAGAATAAATCAACGATGAGGGGATATCAGTTCTGTGATCATGTCACAAGATTTAGTGCCCATATTTCAAAACAACGCTCTCCTTTACTGCCTTTGAGGAAGCAAACAATATGGTCAGGAAGTCTCAGGTCTGGGGGAATTGAAGGTGGCCTGTGGCTAACAGCAGCCAGGTCCTGAGGCTGCCAACAACCACACAAGGCAGGAGGCGGGTCCTTTTCCCACTGAGGTCCCGATGGGGCCACAGCCAGGACCTGCCTGTCACCGTCGCCTTGCGCCAGCGTGCAGCCAAGGACAGCTGCATCCAGGCTCCGAGCCCACAGCAGCAGGCACCAACACCGTGCTTTAAACAGTGTGTTTGTGGTAATGGTGTCAGGGAACAAAGGCTAAAGCAGATTCACGACAGCAGGAACTACGGTGCTAACGTAAGAAACTTCTAAAGATGTGAAAGTGCTTTGGTGACCAGGGAATGCGTAGAAGCAAAAATTTTGAGAGGCAGAGTAGAGAAATCTTAAACTATATTAGCAGGATTTATTTTGGTCTTTGAGGGCACGGCCAGTGAAAGTTTAGAAGGGAATAGGATAAAGAACTGCAACAGAGCAACCCAAAAGACAATCAGATTAGAAAATGGGTAAAGGACTTCAATGGACACTTTTTCAAATAAAATTTACAATTATCCCAGGCTAACATGGTCAGCAACATTTAGACATGAAGGAGATTCGCGTCAGAAACACAATGAGAACTGCTTTATACCTACTACAGTGGCTACAAACAAAAACAAGAATGCAACAATAGAGAATGTGGAAAGCTGGAATCTCACACATGGTGGCATCATTCACACAAGATAAACGGTAGAAATAGCCAAGTATCCACTGCTGGGTAAACAGACAGGCACAACGCAATTGCAGCCCTACAATGGAGTATTATTCAAGCCTTAAGAAAGGAAACAAATTCGGATACAAGCGATAGCACTGATGAACCTTGAAAGTATTATGCTGAGACACAAGAAAGGAGTATTTCAGGCCTCTACTTATGTGAAATACTTATAATAGGTAAATGAGTAGAGACACAGCATAAATTGGAGGCTATAAGGGATAGGAGGAGGGTAAAATGGGCAGTTTTTCCTAATGGCAATGAGAATGCTTTGCAAGCTGATAGTTATGATCAAGTGATAGTGTGAACTAATTAATGTCATTCAACTGTGCACTTAAAAATAAATAACTGGCTAATTTATGTTATTTCTCTATATATTAGTATAACAAAAAATTTTAAAAATAAACAAGTATATTATTAGAAACTGGAAGAAGGAAGAAATTTGTTATATGATGGTTAAAAACTTCCAAAATTGTTGCCTACAGTCACACAAGAATTAGAACATATATGTGTAAAGTGAATTATATAGCTAAGAAAGTTTCCAAGCAAAGCGTTGAAGGTGCTGCCTGATTTCTTCTTGCTGGATACAGTAAAATATAGGAGTAAGGCACACAACTGAAGGTTTGAAAATTAACTTAGAAACCAAAGAAGCAAGGGCTGGATGGTTTTGGAAACTGAAGTTTTCTGATGGCCAAAGATGCTAAAATTCAGAAATGCATCCCAACCGCTGTTAGGAAAAGTTGGCAGAGAATAAAAGCTGAGGGTGTGATTACACAATGTCTTGTTTAAACTTCAGGGAGACAAAGAGTCAAAGAGTCATATACAGTCCTTCAAGGTTCCTTCCAAGAGTCCAGGGTAAGCACATGTCTCCCAGACCCTCTCTCACAGCAGAGGGCCGCTGGAAAGGTGAGGGTGCTGTCTCTCGCCCACCTCCGCAGGACACTGAGGCAGAGGAGAGCTGCCTAAACATCAGAGTGTGGCTTTTCTTAATGGAATACAAAACGTGATCGAAATATCATGGTGAATGCTCAAATTAAGACATTCTTACAATAAAAAAGCACTGACATTCCTTCTCCTCAAAATAGCCTCTCTTGCTTTGAACACATTTATCCCATCATTTTTGCCACCTTCTGAAAGCAGTTCTGGAAATCATTTGTGAGTGTCTTTTTTTATGCTTGCCTTGAGGTCTTGAATCCATTGAAATTATTTATAGCAATTTCTGTTAAAGTAAAACATTACAGTGTGCCCTCGTGTAACTTGTTTACTGGATCAGGCACCACGTGGCTCCTGGCTCGTTCCCAGAGTCTAAATGACCAGGAAATGTGCATGACTTGAATAAATTCAGGACCTCGAGTCAGCCATGGCACTGCAACTAAAGACGCTCACGAATGCCAGAGAAATCTAAGGAGGACCCAAAGCATACTTCCGTGAAAATACTACAAACTTAGACCAAAAGGGACAGAGGCCGCTGGAAACCCAAGGTTCTAATGCAGGAAGAAGCTGGAAAGGCAGATAAAACCATCCAGCTGCAGGCAGGTGGGCATCTCTGCTTCATGACAAAGCAAGGCTGACTCAATGAGCAGAACTAAGAACTCAAAGAAGATCGCAGGACCATAGGGCATTATACCCAGACCTTAGTCAACCAACTCTGACACTCACCTGGCAAGATCTCACAACTTCTAAGAAGCCGTGATTCTTCTGCAACTTCCCTTTTCCCTCTTTTTCACAGGCATGTCTGTCACCATCCTCCTTTTCCCGCCTCTGTGCTGTATGGTGGGTGTGCTCATGGTCGATAAGGTGTCTCTTTTGTTTTAGAGAGAGACAACCAAGAGGAACTATACCCAGGGAGCCTCATGCACACCTGAGCCTGATTTAAATGGCGTGATTCTGGGCTTTGAGGAGATAATTTGGTGGGGTTAGAATTTTGAGGACTATGGCAGAGGTGAAAAGGCATTATGTATGTGGGAGACTTAAATGACTGGGAAACAGGAAAGCATCAGGGGCAGAGAAACCACAGTGTGACTCCAGGGATGTGTGACCCTGGTGTCCCCATCCTGGGTAAAGCCCTCCTAATGAGTGTGGGCAGGGCCTGTGAGCGACTTCTAACTAATAGAATGTGGAATATCTGTCAAGAAACTGGCGCAATGCTTGGCTAAAAGTGTGAAACCTTGGGGCCGGGGATTTAGCTCAGTGGTTTTGCCACCTGCTGTGCAAGCGCAAGGACCCGAGTTCGATCCCCGGTACCAAAAAAAGAAAAGAAAAAAAAAGTATGAAACCTCGGTTTGAATTCATCAATATGATCATCCCAAACACTGACAAGAAGCGTGTGACCTAGACGCTTCCCTGATCTGGTCCCAGAGGAGACCGTGACCTTGACCAAGGCCCTGACTGCCACGTGCTGAGTCCTGAGCAGAGGATGCAGCAGCCACACAGGACACATGACTGTGGAGACTGTAAGACAGTAAATACATGTTGCTTCCATCTGTGGAACCAACATACATAATCATATCTGCACTTTGAGAATATTCACACCACGCCCCACTTCTTCCACCTTCCTTGGAGCCTAAAGGGGAAAGAGTTCTTCTACTCAGTCCTTACTACTGAAGGAAATCGTTTCCAAGGAAATTTTTAAAAAGGGAAGCAGTGTTCATAATTGTAAAATATATTTACAAATTAAATGAGATTTTTAAATCTATTGTTTTTGGGGAAAAAAGGGGCAATGTGAAAATTTTGAGATTTTTGTTGCAACTAAGCTCCTACTGAATTATTCCATGAATTGGAGATTTTCTCCCAGATGATGTCATTAACTGTAATTCTAGCATAAACTTGGGGATTGTGTTGGGAGAATCAGCTCAATCCCTTGGGATCATGCAGAGCTTCTTTAGGTTCGATGACATTTAAATAAGCGAGATCTGCTCCATCATTTCTGATCATGGTTTCCTTTAATTTAATTCTCAAATATGTCTACTGTCAGAATTAGCATGGCTTTTCTTTTGTACAACTTAGGTGGAGAGGCCTCCCATACAACATTACAAAGGATCTAAAATCTTTTTGCTTTTGAAAATCAGGTTCTAGTAAAGCCAAAGTTTTCATGAACCTTCCGGTAAACATTTAGAAAGGAAATTCAGTAGAAATTTCATAAAATTTCATAAAAATTTTATATGGTCTTTATTCTTACCATTCATCTTTTTATTACTCAAACTCAAATTTTCCTCCATTAAACAAAGACAGGTAGGTCTCTAGTAAACTTGTCTTCTCTAAATAAGGAACATTCTAAGTATAAAAAGTTCCCAACATGCTAGCCATATCTTCTCTCAATCTCTTCCTGAAAATGGAGCTTTATGTACAACCATGTGTGGACACAGAATGTGGGTGTACTTTAGCTAGGCCCAAGCAGCTCCTCCTTCCTAGGTGCCTAGGCCGGGACAGAGGAGGGCACCTGTCATGCCTGTGGCAGAGCCTGAGTGGCTTTCCCCAAGTGGGCTGCATGATATGACAACTTAGAGCATTTAAAAACTTCTGACCAATTTTAAATCTTACACAGCTTGGAAATGGCAAGGAGACAATTCTTCTATAATTGGCTTTCCCACTTATCAAATGGTGTTAGATGGAAAATGACAGCCTGCATAAGACTGTCTCAGGGTACTACTTCAACACGACAAACCTTGCATGTAAAAACCATCTTCCTGTCCCTATTCATCAAAAGGAATAAAATCTTAATTGGTAAATGAGGAACACAGAGGAAAAAGAAAGGAAACGTTCTGCCTAGTTGATCTCCGGTTGTAATAAATGCCTAGTAGAAAACTATCTATACAGTTAGTCTATTAGTTTTGTTGGTGTATTGTAAGTGCTAACTGTCCCGCAAATAATTGCATACAGCATTTTTGTAAAAGACTCTGCTAAACTCATCACCAAATAAAACTGTACTACCTTTTCATTAAAAAGCACTGAAAGCCATTCATTAAGTTGACGTCAGTAGGGCAGACTGCGAATTCTAAAAGCATTGTGGAAATTCACCTCCTTGGATTCTCTCCCAGTAGTGCCAAACTAAACAGCCAAGAAAAAGTCAGTGATCGCAAGTGCAGATTCTGAGGCCAAAACCAGATGTCTGATTCTATACAAAGAAACAGATTGTTAGATCTAAGACTAAGCTGAATGTGGCCGTGATGTGCTGAAAGGTTAAGATCCACACAAGAAGGTTCTCACTGTGGACTACACTGCAGCTGCAGGGAGGGTGTCTGGCACTAGTGCCCTGTGGGGGCGTAGGCATCACCAGGCTCTGAGTATGGCTCACCTGTACTCTGGCCACTGCATTTAGTGCTCATGGAATCCTTACACTACCTGCCCAACAGTACCTGGACTTGAGCTTTCCAGTCTTCCTGGGAATTGTAGCTTTTGTTACTAGTGTAGTTGAAATCTCTCCAGAATAATCCTTTGCTAGCAGACGCACTGTCTCCAAGAGCCCAGAACAGAGACACCAGCGTCCCTGGTCCCCGGTGTCTTGGAATTGCTCAGCTGAGACAATCAACAGAGGACTCCACACAGGAGTAGTGTTGTTAAAAAGAAGAGGACAATTCCGCAGAGTCAAAAGAGATGCCATGGACAAGCTAACCTAGATACAAAACCACAACTGACCCCAGTAGGATGGAAGAAGCATGAGGATGGCAATGCTGGGAGCAAGTAGGCACATACCTTTCCTCGCGGTTCTGTCCCACACACACCCGGCCCCCGTGCCTCGGTGTGGGGTTGCTGCAGGACCGCTGCCGCACCTGGAAGCCAATGCCACAGGTTGTGCTGCAGGGTGACCAGGAGGTCCAGGGGGTCCAGCCTCCATTCCTAGGGGAGAGGAGCAAAGAGATCTCTCTGTCATACTGATTTAGAGTCCAAGATCTGCCTGGAGCCAAAGCAAATGCATATGACCTTGGATGGAGCATCTGATTCGAACAGCAGCCTTGGGACAGAACAGACCCAGCCACTGCTGACCTCATTTCAGTTACTGAGTTCCTGCACCCACCTGTTCTCCATCAGCATCTGATTTTAGAGTCAAGACAGGAAATTTGAGAATCCAATTTTGAAGTGTAGCATAAATCATTTAAAATGTGCTGTATCAGAAACTCTTAATATACTTTTGTTATGAAAATTCTAAACCACTACAGAATAATATTATTTTACAAGAAAGAATTTAGAAATGAATCCCTAGGCCTCTAGAGTTTATGATTTTATTTGACTTGTATAATACCCACTATAAGCTATGCAGAGTACACCTCTGGACAAAATAACCATCTAAAGCTATACACAACATTCTTTTTAATCCATCAACATTAGCAACTCTCCTGATAGCCTTCATTTTGATAAGGAGTGCTACCAGCTTAGAAGAAAATTTCATTTAAAATGAACAGACTATTTAAATTCAGATTCTTAACTATTTTCTTGAGAATTGTCCAAGATCACTAAGAACACAAATAAGGAGTATAAATTCCATAAGTCTATATGCCTGTATGTGATTATAGAAATATAATAATGTAGATATAGAAGAGTATAAAATAAAAGTGAAATGAACAAATTTTATAGTATTTATTTATAAAAGAAACCACTATTGACAGCTAGAGGAAAAGTATTGTATTTTTTTCCTTAAAATGCCTATATTCAGACTGTTTATAATTTAAATATCTTCCTTAGCAGTTTTTCCTGGCTATTAAAAATAAGTTATTGATATTTTAGAATTTTAGGTGTTAAAATACTCTATTCAGGCAGACTCTAAATTACCACGGAGATGACCTACCACATCGGGTATGCTTTTCTACTTCTGCTGTCACGTAATACATTTCCATGGGTATGTGTTATTTCCATCCATAGGATTTACATTTTGTTTGAAAAAAATCAATGCGTGCTAAGTCTCACTTTTACTTTATATGTTCATTTAAGGACATGAAAAGCCACAACAATACCATTGAATATACGGCTATAAATAAGTTGAATAGATAATTTTAAAATTAAAATAATTTAAAATGAAAATACTTCTGAGAAAATTCCTAGTATATTTCACTATTTTATTTACCAAAACTTAGTGCTATAAATAAAGTTACTTTATGACAATTTCATCAAAATAGGAGCTTTGTGTTTCTCATAAAAGTAATCTGCTGGTTTCTGATACCCTTCCATCTACAGTCTTACAGATTATCCAAGTGGTTCAATGAATTACTCAAAATCTTTACAATTTTAGCATAGATGATATTTTTGCTTTCAAAGTTTCTTTACATAGGAATAAAATTATTAAAGAAAGCAGAAAAGTACTGTTTTCAAAATTGCTTGGAAATTCTTAATTCCTTAAAGCATTTAAAAACATGAAATTTTATGGTATAGTTTACTTACAAGGTGCATAGTATGTTTTATACTGAACAGTAAGTAATTAAAGGTATATAAGTGGTATATAGTAAGTGAGGGGATAATTGAGTGCAATATTGTGTGTGTGTGTATTTACTGTATGGTCCTGTGTTTAAATACTTTTATTTTGGTTTTTCATTTTGTTTTATTTTGGGTTTTTTTGGTACCAGGGATCAAACTCAGGACCTCGCACTTGTGAGGCTGGCACTGGAACCACTGAGCTAAATCCCCAGCCCTACATACTTTTAAATGCTGTTTAGAGGTAGACGAGGTAGCTGGCAAAGAGTAACACTAGAATTAAATGATCATCTACCAGCCCATGCATTCTGACAATTAAGTCAGTATGAAGTAATTCACTTATGCATTTAGAGCACTGCTAAAACCAGTTCAGTTATTAGACTTTTAATTTCAAAATAAGCGTTGGTTGTATTACAAGCCTGTCTACAGAATGACTCTTAACTGGAATAAGACCTGAAGACCTGACAATAAACGAGCACAGGAATGCACTCGACAGTTCTTTTTGTACTTAAATAATATACAAGAATGCTAGCATTTATTGTGATCTTCAAACGGTACGAGTCTGCCCGGCACCAGCCGGAACCTCTGTTGCTGCACTGAAAGCACACTCAGTGTAACTCCTTGTGGCCGTGTCTTCTGTCAGATGAAGCAGCTGCACCTCTGCAGCCCTAGCTGGCTTCTTTGCGCTCTGTGGCACCCAGTCTGTCCTGGGACAGCTCTTCTTGGCATGTGGACTCTCCTGCCTTGGGCTCTCAGATCCATATCATCAGTGTGATTGTCCCTCTCGATTAATGATTTCACAAACGACTGTCTCAGAGGTCTGAGCATTTTAGTTAGACAGGCTCAGGAAGGGGAAGCAATGCTTTTTACACTACCCTAAATTACTGGACGAGAGAGGAGGGAGCCTGCAGTCTGATCCCCATGATGCTTGTGGCCAGGACGGAGGATGGAGGCATAAACAGAGCACAGTTGTCAAAAATAAATAAATAAAAATCATGCAAGGGCATAATAGGCTGAGGATGCAGGAAACCCCTTCAGCAGGGGTTTGCAGCATCCTGCTGGTCACCTCCTGATTCTAGCTGAGCAGCGTCTCTGACTGTGACACCACCAAGTATGGCAAATCTTCCCCACCAAGACTCAGCTGCTTCCATCTTCCACCTAAATTGCATGTCCTAGTCTAGAAAGAGATCCCTAAGTAACAAGGACGTTTCCCTCCAGCAGCCAATCATTTTGCATAAATTACCAGTATTTTCTTATTCCAATGAGGAACATATGAACAGGTTTAGAGTTATTATCTCATTTGAGGTTTATCAGTTCCTTCCACAGCTCACGTGGTATGTCAGGGGTGAGTGTCCTTGCCTTTTCTGCCACCTCTGATTACAACAGGGAAGGCAGCCGTGAGGAACGACCTCCCAAAGCCCTGGGCACCCGAGCCTGGCACCCACCTGGAGCAGTTGGCGATCTCCATGCTGGGCCCCTCGCACTGCCAGCCGCCGCACTGTGGGGCTGGGCTGTCACAGGAGCGGGACCGACACAGGCAGGACCCCACGGCACTGCCGTCCGTGTGGCTGCAGGGCGTCCACGGAGACCACTGGCCGAAGCGCCCATCCACAGTGAGATTCCGGGTCTGGGAAGCAGACAGAGGAGGGGTGTCAGAAAGGGTTAAAGCTGCAAATAAAGTGGGCTGCAAATGAAGGACTGCTCACAAGGCAATCTTCAGAAGCCTTTAGAAAATATAAAATCTGATGGTTAGAAAGGGATTTGTGAAGAAGCGCTTCAAAGTAAAGCAGCAGAGGTTAATGGTAGAGGAAGGAGGAAAGAAGGGGACAGAGAACGAGGGGGAGGAGGAGGGGAGGAGGAAAAAAAGGAGAAAAAGAAGGAAAAGAGGGGTAAGAGGAGGAAGAAGAAATGGAGGGGGTAGGAGAAGAGGAAGAGGAAAGCAGGAGGACAAGGAGGGAAGGTTACTAGGAACTTCGCAATGAGATTTGGCAGAATCGTTTCCAGATGCTGGAAACCCAAATACCAAGAACTGCAGTGAAAAATTATACATGTACAAATACATATTAAATGGAACGTTGCTCAAGCAATTATTTAAACTAGGCCTGGCTCTAATACCATGGCTGTTTGTTTTGGTACCAGGGATTGAACTTGCGACCTTGGGCTTGCCAGGCAGGCACGGTGCCACTGAGCTACATTCCTGGCCCACTGATATCATACCAACTGACAACATTTGATTAAAAATGCGTCCTGCCACCTGCTGAGCAGCTAGAGCTCCCCAGGTTTTCGGCAAATCCCAGGGAACCTCTGCTCTCACTGCCCTCTGGGGGGTCTGTGGGCCAGTGGGGAGGGGCTGGCCAGCAGTTGTGACCACGGTGAAGTCCACAGTGCAGAAGAGGACTCTGGGAGCTAAGGGATGCTCAACAAGCTGGCAGGGTCTGGGAAGAACCAGCCTGGGATGGTTTTTCGTCTTAAGGGACGAAGGAGGACCAAGAAAGGGAGCTGGGGAGGACAGAGGAGGCTGGAGTGGTGACAGACAGGAGCACAGCTGCCAAACGTGCAGGGAGCCAGGTGCTGGGGGAGCAACTCGTGGGACTGAAGGAGCAGCTGGGTCAGGCCAGCGTAGTGCTGTCCATCCTCCCCGGTCACAGGTAAGGCAGGGTAGACACACACTGGCATCACACAGCATGCGGCAACTCGTGCTGTGTTCAGGGCTCAGTGTGTTCTGGAGCATGAGGACTGGACAAATACCTGCTGAACCTCACACACACATCTTCATGGGAGCTAGGGAGCTCTAGAGAGGGGATTCATGGGGACACCCCGTCCACAGGTCACCCCATGCAAAGAGAATCCATGCTTTAATATAAAGACTTAAGCATCGCTTGGCAAATCAGACAAAGAAAGAGACCTGATGATGAATGGATGGGATGCTTTCCTCATACTCTCTGCTGCCTGCTGCACCCCATCTTTGGCCAAAGATCGATTGGCACTTGATGTATTCATCCCCTGTGCAGACTCACTGTATTCACCGGAAGCAACTCCATGGATGACATAATGAACTTTTGAGGGGACACAAACCATTACCATGTATCACTGTGTCAGAATAATGCCAACACTGTTAGGTGTGTGGGCACACACTTCACTTTTCATCCATCCTTTCTCCAAATACAACAGGACACAGTTTAACCAGAAATGTGTCGATTTTCTGACATGGTTCTTTGGCTGTACCCAACTGCTGCAGTTATGACTCTACCCTTGCTCCTGTCTAGTCAACTCTGATCCTTTCTACTCACCACGGCGGATAAACTGGGCACTTTTCACCATACCTGGCTACTTCTATAACAGCTGTATCCAGAGGGAAGGAATGGAGCTGCTTCATCAGAGGGCAATCCAGAGAGAAAGGGAAGTTTCAAAGGCAGTTTCTCCTCCCAGGAGTACAAGATCTCTATTTCTCAGGTCCCAAAACCCCTGTGTGCATCCCCCTCTCACACCATCAGGTTCCTGGAGACCACAGCTCCTTCTTGACGTACCAGGCCATGCCTGACAAGAGGACTGCAACCACTACCTTGGCAGATTCTCTGCTTAAAGCATCAAAGTTCCTGCCATCTGGGATTTCCCACACTCATCTTCCACCCACTGGACCACCTCCTCTGTCCCTGTCTAAAGGACTCATGTGTACATCAAGAGTCCACAGTGACTGGCTAAGACCATTGAGATTTGCCCCCTGGTCTTGGGTACATCCTGTTCAAGGAGCGTAGATTCCTACTCTGCCCTGGTTTGGGGAGGAAGAATTCTATGTGAGCAAAAGCCCTCTGATCAGCGCTCTGAACACAGTGAGCCCGTGTATCATCCCATCCATGTGGACTGGGTCAGTGCCAAGTCCAGGGAGGGACATGTGACCCGATTCTGGCCAACGAAATTCAGGAGACTGCAAGAAGATTCCAGACATTTCTTGCCTCAGATAAGAGAAAAACTGTTATTCTTCGGGTTCGGATTCTGGGATGTGAAAATGTGACATGTGACACATCTGCTGCCATTTTGGGAGTCTGGGGAATCGGAGACCTACTCACTCAGTGCCCTTCCCAGGGGGCGGCAGACTCAGCCCTGAAAACATCATCTTCAGATGCATCTCAGGGTGGCAATGCTCTCTGCTAAGGTTCTGAGCACCGGGAATTCAATTCTTACAGGTACAGTGTACTATGTTAACTGAAAAGCAAACTAAAATTCAAAGCAATTTGGTGACTTTCCAGTGACCATGCAACTAACACTGGGAAAGGTGTAATTTGAAATGCCAGTCTGTCTATTTATTATTTTTATTTTTTTATTGTTCAGGGTTTTTCAATCTTGGCATTACTGACATTTGGGAGGGATAGTTCTTTTTTTGTGGGAACCACCCTGCACATTGGAGGATGTTTAGTGACATCCAGGTCACTACCCAGTAGATGCCAGAGTAGTACACCATTCCCAGTCTAAAAAACCCGAAAGGTCTCCAGGCATTGCTAGATGTCCCTGGGAGCAATAATCTCCCATCACACTCCCTGTTGAGAATCACTGCTTTGGAATTCTTTGCTTTTTCCTTTGGTTTAGTCTGAGATGAGGGAGTTTTAGATAAGAGATGTTATCAATGTTCCCTTGTCAGTTATATGCATGGGAAAGTGATGAGCTAATAAGAATGACACACACAAAGAGAGGAAGGGAGAACTTGGAATAAGTGATGGTGATGAGGAAGAATGAGGCAGATAAAATAGAACAGCAAGTCATAAAATACTGAAGGGAAAGGGGCTGCATTGGTCCATGACTAATGGGAACAGGAAGTGACTGTAATTCAGCAAACAATCACCTGGCTTCCTTCTGGCCAGGGCTGGGGTATCTGCAGGCTTTGTGGGGCCAAATCTTCAACCCAGCCCAGCAGCTGGTTCCACTCCACGTAGGGGCAAAAAGAACATGTAGTCCTCAGAGTAGCATGAATCTTGGGGAAGGCCCTCGACTTCATTTAGGCATGTGCTTGTTGTGACCCTGAATATATTAGTTTGAGACTGCCTAGGAAACAGGACTCTGAATTATGGAGTAAGTTGTGTGGCTTTATTTTTTCACAGGAACGGGTATTTTTATATTTTCTTAACTTTCCTTAAACAGACATCAGAAATAAAGTTATATGGGGTGGGGTTGTAGGGCAGTGGTAGAGTACTTGTGTAGCATGCATGAGGCCCTGGGGTGCAAGCCCCAGCACTAAGGAAGAAGGAAGAGGAAATAAAGCATTGTAGAATAAAATTTCTAACTTGTGCTTTCTTCCAGGTTTCTGCCAAGTGACCATCTATTTGCAGTATGTACTTTACAGTATTAAACATTAATACATAATAATAGATTTTATCAGTGCCACACATGCCAGCAGAGGATATGTCAAGCACCGTTGTTTATGCATATTAACTTCTTAAGTTTTTATCATGTCCAAGTAAATATGTCTCTTTTTGGAGATGTGCAACCTGAGTCCAGGTGGGATATGCAATTTTCTCTAAGTCACTTGGTTATAAAAGACCCAAGAAATGAGCTCAAACAAGCTGAGTCCAGAACTTGCAGTCTCAGTGGGGTCATTCAGTAATGTGATTCTTTAGGTCCGTCTATCTGAGAATCTCAAAGAAGTCAGAATTACATATTTTACCCCAATTGTGTAATAGCTAATTTCCTTCCACCCAAGAAATAACAAATTGCTCAGTGCTACCTAAGGGAGATCCAAGTTTTGTTAACAAGCATAATCCATAACCCTATGCTTGTTTCATCCCTATTCAGGTAGCCGTCAACTGACCAACGGTGTAGATGCATTGGTGAGTACAAAGGCCCCAGAACACATCTGTATTTTCTTACTATACGCTAACCATTATTCTCTTATGAATGAATTGAAATCTTATATTTTCTACTTGGACATTTTTTTCAAAATCAACACATATTTATTTTCCAAGTTTCTTATACATTCTGCCAGAGATTACTACAAAACAGAACACTGGATGTGCTCCTCAGAAAGCCTTATTTTATGTTACATTAATTAAATCTCACCCTAAAGCCTCGCTCTACAAATGAGCTACAAAGAAAGACGGCAGCTCTTAGAATTCAGCTGCAGTGGTCTCTGACCTCTGATGGGACTGGCAAATGGGGCAAACTTATTTGATGCTCCTGAGCCCCAGTCCTTTTGTCAACACAATGGAACCAATCGTGTGCATCCCTGAGGCTCCCTGTGAACATCCAATGAGTTAACTCCTGGGAAGATGCCGAATGTGACACTGGAGACACGGTCGAGGCACAATTTCCCCTCAGTTCCCTTTACTTTCTGTATAGTAGATTTCATCACAAAAATGCAGAAATGCTATCTTTTCTGCTCTCCGAGCTTAGCATGCAGGATGGCAAACTGGGTCAATAGTCTACTTATCAGCCACTGCTCTGAGAGCTGAGAGTAGCATTATCCTGCAGATGAGAGGAATTCAGAAATACTGGATTGAAATCCTGGCTTCTTCCCCAGTGAAGCTCTAGGACTTCCAGGAAGTCCTTTAGATTCCAGTCCATGGTGTTGCCATGTGAATGAGGGCTTTGAGTTTGATCACTGTCAAATTCTCCTTTCACTAAAGATGCTCATCATACAGTGGTCTGAGAAAGTCCAACTATTGGCCACTATGGAAATGGCAGAGTCCAGGATTAAAGCACCAGCATTTGGTCAGCTGAGGGTATAGCAGTAATCACGTACCTCTAAAGGATTTGGATGGCATTCGTGCATAAATAAAGCCCAAGTAGATTCATAAGACTATACTCACTTGCTACATAATGTTCACATTACAAGTTATGCAGGACCCATATATTACTTTCATTGGTCTACATATACCTATTTATTTATTTAACATACACTAATTTAGATCTTGCCACGAGAGCTCTGTGCAGAACCACTTTGGGGACAGACCTCAGTGCTGTGTCATCAGCCCAGAGTCTGAAAATTTACCACCAGCTCCACACAGGAGGGCCTCAAGTCAGTGCACTGAATCAACTACTTCTAACTCTCACTGCCCTCAAAATAACAGGATCTGCTCTCATTTGCCTCGTACTGTCAATGGGATTTAAGCCAATCTGGAATGCTCTCCACTTATAAAAGTTAATTTCCTTTGAATGGAGATATGTACCTATGTAAGTATACATAGGTGGGCAAAGAAATTTGTTAACTGATTGAAAGTTTTTTAATTGGTATTTTAAAAACTCTAAAACCAGTAGAATCTCTCAATCCATGGCTTCAATTTTTTCCCTTTGCAACACATAGAGCAGTGGTATACTTTACAGCAAATGGAATAGTAGAAATGATGGAATAAGGTGGATTTAGCCAATAAAATTAAATCTTTCTTCTGTTTCACTAAAAATAAAAGATTAACATGGAAGTAAATTACATTTTTAACTGATTATTAAAAACATCTAAAGTAAGTCTCTTCTACATTAGTGCTAATAATTTTCAGTTAGCTTATCTAAGAGATTATTACAAAAAGATGTATAATTAAAATAGTAATTTTAATTACTACTATCACTACCACTAGTATTGTTATTATTGGTAATGATTATAATAAGACTACATTATTTCCCCCTTTCTAGTGGTAATTTTAATAATAAGATATCATTTCCCATTCTCTAGATGGCAGTCCATATAAATCAGAAAAGTATATGGTTTTGTCTTTCTTTTGCCCTGAATGGTATAGTTTATTGTTTACTGTTGACTTCTCTATACAGTCTTACCTTATGGGTATCTATTTTGATACGTGCCCAGATCTATTGGGTAAGAAGACAGGGACAGGGCTCTGTGGAATGAAGTCACCTTCAATCACATGAAACAGACTTTGTTAGGAGTGCCTGACACCAAACTGTAAGTGGCCTCTCAGCTCTATTTTCAAAGCACTGGCACAAATCCACACTGCTTCTGACTTTACTACAAGCTGCCTTCTTTCTAGCCGGAAGAGCTCTCTGGTTACTTCCAAACATTAGCTTCTTCCATTTTTCCTTTTTACTACAGAAATATACAAGACATGCCTTTATCACATACCAAGTGGATGAGAGTAAATTTCCCTTGAGGTCATTAGCATATCTCAGATATTCACTCAAGCAACCCGGGGGCCTGGGATCAAGGACCTCATTGCTTAAGAACTGACTTTTTACCACTAAAAGTGCAAGGCCTGTGATCCGCAGGAAGGTGCGCACATTCTTCTAAAGGGCACGTCTGTATTTGAAGCCACATTTAGAAACTACACTTTGTGTTTTACTTTCTGCAAAGGGATAACCGTTGTGCTCTGAAAGCGTTTACAAACAGGAAGTGAATTAGCACACACACCAGATGTGTTCTAGCTATTTCCAAGAGACATGGCAGAAGAGTTTCCTTCTAAAAGCAAAGACCTGGAGTTATATGATCAACGGTTATAACTGTCCCTGCATTTGGGAGCCTTCAGAGCCTGGAAGCAAGTGCGGCACACACACACACACACACACACACACACACACAAAGCCCCCTTTGCAGGAAGATTTCTCCAGCCCATGCCAGTCTCCAGGAAAGGACCCTGCTGCGCCCAGCCCACCTTCCTCCCTTCAATCTGCCTGCTTTCCCAATTTCCGGTTGAAGCATAAGCTTCAGGACCACATGGTTTAGATCAAGGAAAGAGCGGGTTCCTCAGGAGGAAGCACAGCTCAGACGTCTTAGGCAATTCTAATGTATTGGGGAAAAGCAAGGACTCTATTCGATGATGTGCGGCTTCTCTTCCCTCGCATGCTGCAGAGCTATGCCCAGACAGACAGGCAGAGGTCACAGCTATGTGCTGGGGAAGGGACTGTGGAACTTTTCAAATGCATGCAAGTTAATAGCTGTTGTTCATATGCTGCAAGAACATCTGGGAGAACCCCAGGTTACTGGATGAGAAGTTTTAAAGGCAAACAAACATTGGTTCCTATAAATGAGGACAAATAGATTAACAAAGGAAACAGTAGAATTTGCTCTGCTTGGATACAGGATCTGGCTCTTAGTTTAGGCGAGTTTCTCCACACTCCTCAGGGTTCACCGTGGGAAAACACATCAACTGCTTCTCCCAGGCCTGCCTGTGACCCTGAACAAGGTCTAGAGTCTGCCCAACATGAGGTCAAACTAATATCCTTTTGTTTACCCTTTCAAGTCTTTATATCAGCTTCTGGAGTTATAGCACCCATGGGAAATGTCTGGGTGTGGAAGTTCCCATTTTATCAGTGCTAAAAGGGCCAAAGGGTCCACACTAACTCTGCAGGGAAAAAATTCCAAGAATCAGACAAAGCTGTTATGTCCCAAGATCAAATCAGCAATGTTTCTCTTTTAAGACAGTTCAAGCAGACACAAACCTTGTGACAGCATCCTGGGTGGGCTTGGACAAGCCAAGTGTTAAAAGTGTTTCGAAAGGGCAGCCTGGTTTGCAAGGTTGGAGAAAAGGGGTGGGTGGGAGGCCATGGTCAGGAGGACCTGGCTCCCGTGAGTGGTATTTCTGGAACCTGGACAGACAGAGTGGCGCGTACCGGGCAGGCGGAGATGCTCTGTTCCCACCGTGTCATGCTGAGGCTCTCCTCCAGGCTGGTGCACTTGTTCATCACGACGTCCCAGCCACAGTAAGGGTCCTGGGCCCCGATGCAGGTGCTGGAAACACATGGCAGAGGGTCAAGAGAGGGAGCTCTAACTATCGGATGACACGAAAGTCGAGGCCAGCCTGGCCCTCTTGCGTGGGCACAGGGACAGCTCTGATCACTAATGATACTTATTATTATTAGCTATCTGCACATTGCCGTATCTAATTAATGGCAAATCGCTTGTTTTGGTTGAAGTATCTGTATTGTATCTAACATACGGGACAGATGACCAAATGTGCTAACAGGAACATGCAGGGGTCATGAAATGAACTAGAGTCAGTTTTGCAAAGCTCAGAAATAATAATACAGTTATCGTCACCTTCACCACCACCACCACCACCACCACGATCTTATCATCTCCTTAGTAACAGGTACAATGTGTTAAATTTATAGGGATAAAACCAACTCCTATATTATCTAGACACATAGCCGGTAGGCAGATATTAGTTCTTTCACTTTATTTTCTATATCATCAGCACCACCATAGATATCATCACCACTTTATTGATGAGATGAGGCACAGAAAATTTGAAAAAGGGCCTCAAGGACAAGAAAGTGTATCTAATATGTAGTTAGTTCTAATTCACTCTAATGGGAACATCTTGCTTTTGAGAACTGTTGCTTTAAAATGTATTAAAGTTTTAATTTAATAGTAGTTTCATACAGCTACATCTAGAATATCCAACCTGTCATATCAGAAGTTGTACATGGTGATTATTTTATGTACAAGATGGGCACTGCTAGATGAAGATGTTGGCCCCTACATCACAAATAGGAGAGAGGCTAATAGGGAAAGGGGAAAAACACAGAGATCACAGAGAGGGAGGCAACATCACAGGCTAAGAGGGCAGTGAACATCTGGAAACTCTCTGCAGGGGCAGCAAATCAGACAACAGGAGACCGACATGCAAAGGGGAGGTGACCCCCAGTGGAGGTGCTAACTTCTCTTCTAAGGAGTTCCAGGCACTCACAGGAGGAAAACATTAGAGAGTTACCAGATCACCAGGAGGAAGCCTGGAATCAGCCCAACTACCATGCAGGGGGATGGGAAAGCAGTATAAATAAGTTGTTAATATTAATAATATAAAAGTCACATTTAACACATTAATAGGTTCACCACATATAAAGCACGGTTCCAAGAACTCAACCTGTATCAGGTCCTGTAATCCCCACGACAAACTTATAAATACAGCACTTTGGTTAAATCCGGAGTTTATTCTCATCTTGAGATGAGGAAACTGTAGTGGGATCTATATCTCCCTTACACCTCTAACGAATACATAAATCAAAAGAGAGTGGTTTAAGACTATCATTTATTAAATTGTCCTATTGTTACTATTTATTAACTACCTAAAGAAATTCGAACAGAAATGGTTAAAAAGGCTATTTTCCAGTAGTAGAGCTAGGTTGGGTGCAAAGATATTTTAAGTCATCTGATGCCAGGAGAACTTCTGAACTCTGATATGTACATCCAGTGTTTGCTGATCAGATTTCAAAGAGGAAAGTTATAAAAGGCAAGGGGAGAGTCCTTCTTCTCCAGCAGTAGTACTGTCCACGCAGACCTAAATATTCTTCAGTTATTTCTCCCTACACATACAAGGTGCATGTCTCTCTATATGCACATATCCACACACACAATGTATATTTTGTTGTTGTTGTTGTTGTTACTGGGGGTCAAACTCAGGTCCTTGCACTTGTGACGCAGGCGGTAGAACCACTGAGCTAAATCCCCGGCCGTGTATAAATTTTTATTATTGTTCATAGGTGATTGTATGACATATCACAGATAATATATCATTATAAACAATATGCACAAGTGTGCTTATATATATACTGCATTATGTTCTGCTCTTTACATCTAATTAAATTTCATCACACTATTCTCATCAGTAAAAATGGCTCTTCCTTATTCCATTTATTAGTTATACAGTCTCCATTTTCTGCATGAAACAACACTTATTTAAATTTCTCCTTTGAGAGCAAGGCAGCAATGCTCATTTGGTACAGGTGTAATACATGATAGAATCCTGCCAGAGGAACCGATGCGTCATGATTCAGGTATGAATAATTCTGCACCAAGCATCACGGTGGACGTGCTTCTCTTAACTCACTCTGTTCCACACCGAACACCGTCAAGTTTTTAAAATGTGCCCCTTTGTGGTAGAAGAGAGAAGAGAATCTCCTAGTGGTGGTTTTCGTTTCCTGGAGCTTCGAATGAGGGTGGAAGGGGCACCACGTGGGGTGCACTTCTCTGTCATGTGTCTTTCTTGCTGTGGATCCTTCACTCCCTATCCAGTTCCCATTTGCTTTTCTTCACGGGTCTTTGGCTTTTCACACGGCCACTGAAAGGGGCAATTTTTGTACTAAAATTTAGTCCTGTTTGAGTAATGTGCTCTCTGTCATCAAATCTTTTTCCTTGGGATACTACTGTATAAAATTCTGTGCATTAAAGCTTGCAAATGTTTTCTTTCACAGCATCTAGATTTTGTGTGCTATGTTTAGAAGGATCTCCCACACTTAAGAATTATAGAGAAGTTCCCTTAGCATTTTCTATTGTGCCACTTCCTATTTCCTATTTGGGATCCATTTGAAATCTATTTTAGTAGCCTTCTTTTCTTCCTCAATGCAAACAAACCACATACGTACTTATTTTAAAATATAAAATTCTCAAACTCCCACCGACACAAGTACACTCACGGTGTCAGGACTACAAAGGATATAAGGATGGTTTCTTCCTTTTTCTCTTAGTTTCAGATACCATTTGCTTCACATACAAGTTTATAAAAGAGAGCATGAAGATCAGCTTTTAAGATTCTCTAGTATTTTTAACTTGGAGACATAATTTAAATAATTTAAAGAAAAATTAATTTCAGGGGCCAGTTCCACTGAATAGAATTTGATCTGTTTTTCTATTTATAAAATATAATCACAATTTCCCAGTTTTAAAATACCTAAGTGATTTAATAACATCTTTTTTGCAGTGATATGTGACGTGAAAATAAACTATCCTAACCAATGAATGTGTAAGACTCTGAGAAGTATACATTCTGAAATCGATAAAACATGGGAAAGGCCAGAGCAGTGGTAGCAAATCTATGGTACATGTGTTATTTGTTTTCCTTTTAAGACAAAAGATGCTAAGATATGAGTTGTTATTTCTAAAATAAAACCTCAGTATTCAGGTTTAATTGCAGTGTTGGCACTTTTCCATAAGTAGGTGGGTTTTGGGCTGCAGTGTGGGCACTGGTCTCTAAAAGTTTTGCAATGACTGGGCTAGAGAATCCTCCCTGACTATCAGCTTTGTATGTGTGGGTGGTTTTTTTTGCTGGAAAATACCCAGCCGAAGGCTCACCTGATGGAGGGGGCCTCAGGTGCGTTTCCAGCTTTGACCACTCCTGACTGTGACAGTGAGATTGGACCTCAGCCTGTCCTGGTACTGACACATCAGGGAGGTGTCCTGGGTGACGCCAGAGAATGACTGCCTACAGAAAGAAGGACCACGTGCGTCCCACCTTGGGTTCGCTCTGTGCATGGCCTCGTTTTCACACTAATGGCGTACACTGTGAAGTTACTTAGGGAATCATTCAAAAGCCCGTGTTCCTTTTTATGTTTCTGATTAAAGCAACATGACCACTAGGAAAAATTAAAATTCCAAAAAGGGAACATTCCACAGATCACCCCCCCATTTTGGTCTGGGGCTCCCCCTGCACAGCCCCAGGGACCTGAAACAAAGCCACTGTGTTAGAGGAAATGATGTTAAGCTGTTCTAAATGAAACTCTGCCTGCAGTAACAGCTCCTTCTTCCTATAATACTGATGGTTCTGCATGCCCTTAACATTCCACTTACCCCTTAAACATTACAATCTCTAACCAAACACAAATGCCTCTTCCATAAAACCCCATCAATAAATACAATTTGCTCATACAAAATACCTCACATCATGGGCAAAATTTTGCTGATCACTCCCTCTAATGTAAATTATACTTTAAGAAAGGCCAATCATCACAAGATATTATTTTTGGAAGTTGGGCCTTTTAAATTGGCCATATGGAAAACCATGGGATTCTGATGAATGTGGCCATCATGAACATGGCCTTTCTTTATCCCACTTTGAAAAGGTCTTTCTTTATGTGAGGAATATTTTTAATAAAAAATTTATCTTGATTCATTCCCCACTCTATACATATATCATAGCATCATAAGTGCACTATAAAGATATCCAATTATAATTTTGCAATAGTTAACAAAAATTCCCCTTAATTTGTTCAGAACCTTATAGTGTTCTCATGTATATGCTGTCCTGGTATCTAAAAGTTTCTGACTTCAGGAAGTTGGTCAGAATCCCATAGGTTTAATTTTGAAAATAACATTTACTGAGCGTATGATTTAGAGTGAAATATATTTACAAGTAGGCCTTAAATTCTAGAAGATTATTATTTTAAAATGTAATCTGAATTTATTTTTAACTGCTGCATAAAGACATGGAAATTGTGTGTATCGAGGGAGTAACGTGATGTTTGGTATGTGTTAATAGCTAACGCTAGCCAAACATAACTGTCTCCTCCAACATTTATCATTTGTTTACAGAAAAAAATTTTTAAGCTCCTTGCTGCTAGCTTTTTTGTGGTACTGAGGATTGAATCCATACTGAATTATAACTCCAGTCCTTTAAAAAAAATTTTTAAAATTTTGAGACAGAGTCTTGCTAAGTTACCCAGGATGGCCTTAAACTCATGATCCTCCCAATCTAGCCTCCTAAGTAGCCAGGAATAGGGGTGTGTTCCACCACACACAGCCTTCCAGCTGTTTGAAACGTACACTTTGTCACTGTTATCTAGCACATCAGAACTTCTTGTTTCTATCTAACTGTAACTTAGTATCCAACGGTCAACCTTTCCCGGTCCCTCTTCCTCACTATTCTTCCATGCCTCTGGTAACTACCATTCTACTCTCCAATTCTAGGACTTCAACATTTTGGATTCTACAGTAAGTGAGATCATGTGGCTCTT